AACTTCAAAAGGCCTTGTGAGGGTGGCTGCAAATTACCTCCCCCCTCACCTTCCCTCCCTAACCCCAAAGCCACAATAAAATATAGTTTGTGCTTTTTTGTTTTGTTTTGTCTTTCCAACTTTTCTTTTTCCCTTAAAAGCTGAAAAAGTGAATAGATTTGTTAGAAGCCTGGATTCCTTAATGCAGGTGCAGGTGCAAGCCTGGCCACTGTGACCAGGAAGCCAAGCCAAGCCAAATGCATGGTTTGTGCTATCTGCCCCCTGAACAGGCCCTCGGAAGCTGGTACAGACTCAGCTCAGGCTGGCCATTAGCCTTTTCTGAAGTTACCTCGGGAAGCCTGTTCTTGGAGATAGTAGAATGTGCCATAATGTCCTTTTCATTGTCCCTGGGGACACTGTCTAGCACACAACCAAGGACAGAGGCCTTTATCTGAATTAGAGTGATTATTGGCTCTGAATGCCAGGCATTCACTTTTCCCAAAGCATCCATGGCTTCTGGGACTCAGGTTGCCCCCCGAATTGAGCATTGCACTAAAAACGTTGTGACCAAGTCCAGAATACAAGACTAGTTTTAATCTTCGTACCCTCTTTTCCTCTTATTCAGAATCTACTGTAAATATAACTTGATTAAATTGTTTGTCCCATGGAAAATCCTAGGTTTTTTTAATCCCTCTTCCCTCCACCCCCCCCACAAAAAGCATAAATGAAGCAAAACATTTTTCCAAGAGAAGAGATACATCTCTTCTTTACAGAGAGAAGGTAGCTTGGGCATAATGTATGAGAAAAGGTGGCACTGGCATGACCTTCCACTGTGAGTGGAAATTAAGGTGGCAGGAGACTGGAGCACAGTATCTCCAATCGAGGGCAGCAGACCCCCGTGGGTCACAGGAAAAGCCCTCTCTCCTCATGGACCCTGGTGCCAAATGAAAATAAGCTCTAATCTAAAGTATAATTTGGCTCCAGGGTGTTCAGACATAGAAAAGGGGCCTAAAGGTGCTGGAATGGAGTCCCTAATTGCATTGGAGGAGAAAGAAAAACTTTATTATTCTGGCAATGCTCAAAAAAGAGGTTCAATGTCTTGCCTTCCCCTATCACAGGACAGAACACTGTTCAAATGCTGCTATTTGGGAGAATGAAAAGGCAATCTCTGATATGTGGGGAGAGATTTGCAAAACAAATTCACCAACAATACCTGATTTAATTTGTATAACAGCTTTGACATACAGGCAAAGGGAGTGCTCTGCCCCATTTATGAATGAAGGTCTCAAGCCCTCCTTTTGTGAGTTGTGTTCTTCTCCCTTCATGTCCAGATAAATGGAACATTGTTCAAGTGTCTTGGCCAAGTAAGGCCCTGGGGACTTGGGAAAAGTCAGGCCCACTGGGTACCAAGAGAGCCCCAGAAAGCTGAGGTGGAAGTCAGGGCCAGTGGCTCTGCTGAAGCCCCTTATATGTGGAGGCCACAGAGCAGCTCTGTATTCATCTCACTTGCTAAGGTTCATGTTAAAAAAATGTGGCTCCTGTGATCCATCACCACCATTCCTCAAAAGTAGCAGGAATTACTTGCTCCCCGCTGCCCAAGTGCTGGGACAGTGAGACAGGGTGGCTCATCTCCACTGGCTAGAGCTATTATCACAGTGTGATTTCAGGAAGGAAAACTTTGAGGCCCCCCTTGCCATGAATCCTTACCTGGGTAGGTTCTATGAACTGTGATCATGGCTTCCTAATTAATCTCTTCCTTTTTAGACCTGCTCTGAGTGCTGCACACACATCTAATTAAAATCTCACAACAGTTGGAGGTAGGTACTGTAGCTGTCACATGGTACAGAGGAGGAAATGGAGACTATTGAATGTCTCAAGGTCATACAGCAGTAAGTAACAGAGTCTGGACACCAAGTCAAGTCAGTCTGCTTTATCTGGAATTCCTTGGGTCTAGAAGAGCATGAGGCCAGTTGTCTCTGATGGGGACAGGATGATAATCTAGGTCACAAGGTCAAGGCAGGATTCTAATTTAGGTTTTTGAGTCTCAGTCCTTTGGTCCACGCTGGTGAAAACCACTAGAAAACCAGTACCAGAGAACACTCTCCTGGGTAGTGAATAACCCTTCAGGAGCAGAGATGTCGACCCCTATAGAAAATTCCAGACTGCTCCCCCTTAGGGTTAGAGGAGAAGGTGGCAATGACAGTGTCGAGGAGCATTCTCTGGGTCCTTGGAAATCTTTGCAAAGCATGTAAAGACGATGGCTTAGTCTTGTAGGAAAGGGTGCTGAGGACAACATTTTGGTTCAGGGCTGGAATAAGGAGAATTGGGACAAATGTTCTAGCAGCTTTGGCAATAAGGATCCCAGAGTTCACTGTCTTTTCTCCTGGGCCAAGACCAATGGGCAGGGCCACTAGAAGGCAAGGTTTCCCTACTATAAGCTTCCATTCAGCTGCCATTTCATGATATGTGTTTGTGTGTGTGTGTGTGTGTGTGTGTGTTGGGGGTAGGGGAAGGAGTCTGGCCTTTAAATCCCTGGTAATTGAGACCTCTGTGTACAGGTGAAGCCCAAGTCCCCTAACAGGAAAACGTGAACACACATTGGCTATCAGGAAAGTTCTCCCTCTCCTAGATATGAGTTTTAATTAACTAGTATACACTCCTCTTGTGCAGATCAGGAAACTGAGGCCAGTGGACAAGGGATTTGTCCAAGATTACAATGCACAGAAGTGGTAGAGCCTGAACGCTGGACCTTTGTCAGATGTGGAATGATAGAATTTAAGTTAGATGGGAGCTCATGATTCAGCTTAGGTGAAAGAAAACATATTTAGATGGATCCATATTAAAGCTACCTCCTCCCACCTCCACCCTGGACAGCTCTGCTGAAGAGAAGTAAATGGAGCATGCAGAGGCCTCCTAGCACCCACTCCCTGGGTTCATGGCTTGGGGGCATGGGTGGTGGGAGCCCCCGGAATAATCCATATTCCTCCAGGTGGTTAAAGGCTTCCTTGGGCTGGAAAGGGCAAGATGCCCCAGGCTGAGTGATGTGGCTCTGTTCTATGGCTGCTTACTTCTGACATTTCTGGGCAAGTGAGGACAAATGTGATCTTGAACACCTCTCAGTTCCTTTCCTGGAAGGGTGGGATGAGGCCTGGGATGTAAATGGTGGGGGCTTCAGCAAAATCCTGTGAGGTCAGCAAGACACAGGTTCCCGTGGGTCCAAGGGAGGCATGTGGGTGAGGAGGGTTACAGAACTGATCTCTGTTGGCCAGATTTGGTCTTTATACTTCCCAAGGCTACTCATTCTACAAAGAGGAAACTGAGGCAGGAAAGAGATGATTCACTACTTTGGGACCCACTGGTCCTTACCATCCACTACTGTTCTGAAAATAGTCATGGCCAGGCAACACAGGCCAAGGCCAGCTCCCTGGTCACCCCCACTGGCCCCATCTCCACAAAGCAAAGTTCAATTAGAAGCAATTATCCAGATAATTCACCACAATCATTCCTGCACTCAGGCCTCTGATCAAAATGACTATTTCTACTGGACAAATCAAATGCATGACTGCCCATGGCTTAGTTCTGCTTATGAAGACGCCACTGGAGGCGCGCCCCAGCCTCCCTCCCCACCAGAGCCTTAAAGAGATGGGGCTGGTTGCTCTCTCTGGTTTCCCTGCAGCAGTACCGTGTCCCCAGACGTCCCGAAGCTGGACAGGGTTCTGGCCAGAGCGAGCCAGGGCCAAGGGCCTAGGAAGGGCAGCCGGGCAGGCGCTGTCCAAGCGGCCAAGCGACGGCTGCAAGCGCCTCCCCCTCCCTGGAGGCGCCAGCACGCGGCCCCGCCGGGCTCTGCTCCCAGTCGCCTGCCACCGGGCCGCCGGGCACACGCCTGGGGCGGGATGGAGGCTGCGCCAATGCCGCCGAGGTGCCTGCGGCGGCGCCGAACTACTGGACAAGCTTGTCCAGGCCCTCAACCTCCATCACCTGCCCCCTTTCCTCCGTGCCCCCACTACGTATTTCTTTGGGGAAGGTGTCCGGAGCGTCCTTGTCCTAGAGAGTTCTTCTCTTTATAATCCCCCCTGGCCGGTTCAGAGGTAATCCGTTAGGGGGAATGATGTTACAGGGACCTAGAGGTCATCCTGGGGGGGGGGGCGTCTTGTCACTTACATCTACCTACAGCGCTGACCATAACTGTCCCTCTATATCCCTTCTCCTCCGGGCCCTTTCCACACTTGCTTGGTGATGGGGACTATAACCTAATTTTTAGAGCTGGGTGGGACACTGGAGAACATTTAATCCAATTTTCTGTGGCTGCAGACGAGGAATGAAGGCTCAGAGAGGATGCCGCTTACCAAGAGCCACAGAGAGTGAGACGACGACTTGAAACTAGGACCCAAGTCTTTCAATAGCCCAGCACTTTCCCCACTGTCCTAGACAGAGTTCTTTCCCCACTCCCATCTTTCTGAACTTCAGTAGTAATTGCTTCAATTCCTACTGTCAGTGAAGAATCCCAAGAGTATAACCGTGGGGAGGAGAAGAAAACAGGAAACATGGAGCCCCACTTCCCCCTAATCACCACATTCACCCCCCCCCCCGTGCCATTTTATCTGACCAAACTCTTCCCTGCTCTTTGCTCCAAGTTCTCAGGAGGTCCCAAGGGCATTTCACCCCAAATCTTTTCACCCATACACCCCAATTCCCAGGGCTATTTGTCGCTTCTGCCAAGTCGCCCCCCCTTTCTAAAGCCACCCCCGGCTGTAGCCCGCCCCGAGCGCACAGCCTGTTTATTCAGCCGGGAGTCCGGCACGCGCCAGGCGCACGCACTGCAACAACAAACCCGGCTGAATGGAGAGTTTGCAAGGAGCGGGCGAAGGGAGCGGGAGGGGGGAGAGGAGAGGAGGAGGGGGAGTTTAGGGAGTGAGTAGGAGGAGGAGGTAAGAGGAGGGGGGAGTGGGGGCTGCAGCCGCTCGCTGCAGCAGCGGGGAGTGGGGGGCGAGGCGGGGCCAGGGCTGCGCGTGGGGCTGGGTGTCCCATTGAAAAGGCTGCCGCACTCCGGCCGCCCAGCACTCTCTCACTTCTGGCCAGGGAACGTGGAAGGCGCACCAGGGAGGGCGAGGGAAAGAAGGAAATAGGAAAGAAAGGGGGTTAGCAAAATAAAAACAGCCTGCGCCACAGCCGGAGAAACCGAGACCCAGCGCAAGAGCGCGCAGCCTTAGTGGGAGAGGAACGCGAGACTCAGCAGAGCACACTCAGCACTGACTTCTGCGGCTTCTTCTGCTTTTTCTTTCTTAGAAACCAGAAGGCGCTAGCGACAGCCTCACACGCGAGCGCCACGCGAGGCTCCCGAAGCCAACCTGCGAAGGGAGGAGGGGAGGGTGGGAGGAGGAGGCGTAGACAGAGGAGAAAAAGCTTTTGCGGCTTCTTTGCTCCTTCTCTAAGAAGTCTCCCGGGGGGTTTGTATTTTTGTAACTTCCCTCGGTCTCCCTCTTCATCCTTCCCCTTCTTTCCCTCTCTGTTCGCGCACCCAAGTCGTGTCCGTGTCCCCCTCGCGCGCCCCGCACCTCGCGTCCCAGCTCGCTCTGATCCCGCGCCTCCTTGGCTGCCGCTGCGCATGGAGAGCTCTGCCAAGATGGAGAGCGGCGCGGTTCAGCAGCAGCCACAGCCGCAGCCGCAGCCGCAGCCTCAGCCTCAGTCCCAGCCCCAGCCGCCCTTCCTGCAGCCCACTGCCTGCTTCTTTGCTACTGCCGCGGCGGCGGCGGCGGCGGCAGCGGCGGCGGCTGCTGCGCAGAGCGCACAGCACCAGCAGGCAGGGCAGCTGAGCCCCGCGGCCGACGGCCAGCCCTCAGGGGGCGGTCACAAGTCAGCGCCCAAGCAAGTCAAACGCCAGCGCTCGTCCTCGCCCGAACTGATGCGCTGCAAACGCCGGCTCAACTTCAGCGGCTTCGGCTACAGCCTGCCGCAGCAGCAGCCGGCCGCCGTGGCGCGCCGCAATGAGCGGGAGCGCAACCGGGTCAAGTTGGTCAACCTGGGTTTTGCCACCCTTCGGGAGCACGTCCCCAACGGCGCGGCAAACAAGAAGATGAGCAAGGTGGAGACGCTGCGCTCAGCGGTCGAGTACATCCGTGCGCTGCAGCAGCTGCTAGACGAGCACGACGCGGTGAGCGCTGCCTTCCAGGCGGGGGTCTTGTCCCCCACTATCTCCCCCAACTACTCCAACGATTTGAACTCCATGGCCGGCTCACCGGTGTCATCCTACTCGTCCGACGAGGGCTCTTATGACCCGCTCAGCCCCGAGGAGCAGGAACTTCTAGACTTCACCAACTGGTTCTGAGGGGCTGGCCTGGGCAGGCCCTGGTGCGCATGGACTTTGGAAGCAGGTAGGTCACATTTGGGGGCGGGCGGGGTGGTGGTGATAGTCTAGTCTTCATCCTCCTTCTGAGTGTCTGTGGAAGGGGGGTGGTCTCCATGGAGATGGGGGGGCATATTTCAAGGATTTGTTAAAGTTTGTGAATTTCAATTAGTTGTTAGTTGCAGCACTGGCCTCTGAAGGTGGCCTTGCCCAGTTCGCCAAGGAATGGAGGGTAGGGAGTGAGGCGTGGTGATGCTGGTGAACCGAAAAGTGAACGTGTCAAGAAGAGGTGTTCTACCCGACAGACTCTTCCCCCAAACGTCCATTCAAGTTTAAACTAACCTCTCCGTTATTCTCCCTACTCTACAGGGTGGCCGCACAACCTGCGTCTTTAGTGCTTTCTCGGACTTTGGGAGGGAGGAAAAAGAAAAAGAAGAGAAGAAGCAAGAAAAAAACTCCACAAAAATACAAAAACAGGCAACCAACCCCAAGGCCAACTAAGCACATATGCCTGAGAGGCCAGGCCCTCAGGAAACAGGGTTGCTCAGAACACTATCTTTGCACTCCAATCGTTCACGGAGATATGAAGAGCAACCAGGACTTGAGTCAACGCGCAATATGCAGCTTGTGTGCAAAATCAGTGGGGCTCCTGGCAGAAGGGAGCAGCAGACGCACCAGAGTAACTCCCATCCACCACTAACACACACCGCTGAAAGCGCTGGCTCCCCTGCCTTCACCTCCTACCCTTCCACCCTCTCTCAAAGCGCTGTTCTTGACTCCCTAGAATTGAGTTGGTATCCTTCACTCAGTAAAGCCTACCCCAATAAGCTGAAGATGGGAGTCTACAGTGAAACTATGCTATACTCGTCCTTCGAAACCCTGCTCCTCCTCGGGGCCCCATCCCCAAACCCTCTGCCCTCCCTCTCATCATCTTTTCTACTGTTTTCATCATAGAATGCTTCCAATCTTTTGTGAATTTTTTTATTATAAGAAAAATCTATTTGTATCTATCCTAACCAGTTTGGGGATATATTAAGATATTTTTGTACATAAGAGAGAAAGAGAGAGAAAAAAAATTTATAGAAGTTTTGTACAAATGGTTTAAAATGTGTATATCTTGATACTTTAACATGTAATGCTATTACCTCTGCATATTTTAGCTGTGTAGTTCACCTTACAACTGCCATTTCCCCTCTGTGGTTTTGTAAAGAACTCTCCTCATAGGCGAGATCAAAAGGCCACCAGATGTACTTCAGCACCAATGTGTCTTACTTTATAGAAACGTTGTTAATGTATTAATGATGTTATTAAATACTGTTCAAGAAGAACAAAGTTTATGCAGCTACTGTCCAAACACAAAGTGGCGGCCAGTTGGTTTCGATGGGCTGCCTTTTGGAAATTTCTATCACTGCCTTTTTTTTTTCTTACTGTTTTATTACAAACTTACAAAAATATGTATAACCCTGTTTTATACAAACTAGTTTCGTAATAAAACTTTTTTTTCCTTTTTTCAAAATGAAAACAGTTCACTGACTCTACTCTTTCTTTGACGCCAATGGCGCTGGACATGTTATGAAGATGCCAAAGTTGAAGGGGTGGGTGGGAGGAGAAGAGGGTGGGGCAAAACATGCTCAATGCCAGAAATGAGAAAGATAAGTAGTGTGGCTAGTCCTAACCAGGTAGGGACTTAGTGATGAATGCAGAAAATGTACTGGTTCCTTCCCATTCTATCCTGCAAATGTACCCAGGCACTGAGAGAATAGGTAGCGATTAAAGGCCGCTTCATATCTGATAAAACAATTGGATGTTTTAAAAATCTCCAAAAAAGTGAACTGGAAAGAGAGGGTCCTCTAGACCACTTTCCAACCCACAGCCCTACTCTGAGTTCCCCCTGATGAAAATATAGAAAGGCTGGCTGGAATAATGGGTGGAAGGCTGGGGGGTGGGAAGGCGTCTTGGTGAGGAGGCTCCTCTTCCCTCACTTCCAGATGTACATTTCCTATTCTCCCCCCCCCCCCCCAGTAGACACACACTTTCAGATTAATTTTAAGTAAAAGGTACCTATGATATAAATTCCATCCAGAAAGAGCTAGATTTTCATAAATAAACACATTAGAAATGGGTGGTCTCTTTGAGACACTGGCCTATCTAAGCTTGTGACTCTATCCGAATAGCGTGAGCTGCGTGTAAAAGTACCCAATTACCAAGATTCAAAAAGAAATTGGTGGGTTTTTGGCTGGCTTGCTTCTTGTCAGTTAGCAAAGACGTGATTAGAATCCTACTCGGCCTCTCGCCGGCTCCTCGCTCGCCGCCTACATTACTTGCAGATTCAGTTTGCGTGTCTCCAGCCAAGCGGAAAGCCGAGCGCAAAATGCATCTTACAAAACCCAACAAAGAACGGGTAGCCAGCACGTCTTCCAGAGTTAAAAATCTAGTCTGTGTTGGTACATCTATACCATTTAGTGGCACAGAATAATCATTTTTTAAAGCCGCGATGTGCGGAGCACGCCACAGCTTCTGATGTCATTTTGCTAAATGACCCTTTATAGAATGCACATTGAGGCTTCAATCCCTTTCAAAGAGATGAACGTAATTAAGGGAAAAAAATCAGTAAATTCCTCATCGCCATAAATAATCGGACTTTCTGCCAGCAGTGGGCCAATTTAGAGCTTACTTGAGAGAAGTAATGCTTTTGTGATGCCTGCTTTTATTTTTATCTTCTCGTTTGGAGGACAGGGCGAGGCCCCCCCCCCCATTTCTCTTTCCTTTAATTTAGCTCCTTTGCAAGTTTCTAGATAAGGTAGGCAGAGAAAGTGTAGCAAGTCATTTAAGGCTATGAATATAACATTAGGATAATGTTTCAGCCCCCACACCACAAAGGGGGATTTTTTTTTTTTTTTTTGTCTCCCTTCTCCTATGAGGACAGGTCACACTGTCCTCCCTCCCTCACTTCTGAACGGGAAATATCCAGTCTCGTTAAAGTCGAGGCTAAGTTAGCTGTTGTTTGCCACAACGCGAAGGCAAAGTGGAAAAATTCACAAAAACACACACAATTTTGCCGAAGCTAGGAAAGGGCAAAGCGAGGATTGGGCAAAATCTCATTACATCTGCTCTAATCGCTTAGCAACACAAAGCCGGGGCTTGTGCGGGGAAGGGAAGCCATTCAGGGCGCTGTGACAGGCCGCATTCAGCCCGCGGTAGTCAGCCCCATAAATCACCGCTGCCCATTGGCTGCGCGGCGGGCTTTGGAGCGGCCCTGGGCTGTCAGAGAAATACAAAATGTAGACCCCAGAGGCTGGCAGTCACAGCCTCCCCCCGCGTCTTGGTCCCCACCTCACTTTATTTTTGGATGGACAGGGATGCTGGGAAAGAAAACTGCCTTGACTTTCTTGACTGAGAAATCTTATCTATTCAAAAAATGACCTGGAGACCACCGAGTTAAGACTGGGGACGCGCCTGCAATGGAGCAGGACCAGCTGGGAGTGCGGGAGAGAAAGAAAATCCAGGCCTGTCGCTGGCTGCAGAACTGTTGAATGCACTTATTATCAGAGGCTGGGAGAGAGCTGCTAGGGCACATGTCTCACCTCCCTGGCACAGACTTTTTAAATTTTTCAACTGAGTGTATGAAGAAGAATCTACTTCAAGTTCACATCAGCCAGACCCACCAAGGAAGAAAGGAGAAACCATTTTGCAGCTGCACAGAAGTTCCTAAGAGAGAATGTACATTTCCACTTTGCTGTTCCTGTGATGATCTGGTTCTTGGGACTTCTGAACACAGAATTAACAGCTCAGTTCCTGGGTACCCACAGCATCTAGCTGAAAAAAACAAAAAAACCAAAAAACCCAGAAAGAATATAGCAAAAGACCCATGTCAGAGATTACAAACTGCATATGTCAATGTCAGTGCCTGCTGCTGTCCTTATTCGTAGCTTGCAATTCTGTCTCTAATTTTCCTGAGGACTAGTCAGACACATCTAAATCACAGCCCAGATTCAATTCCTACCCACAAACCACAGAGAAATCAAGTGTTGGAGTAGATGTGGAATCACGGTAGACTTTTCTTGGAAGTCCAGGTTGCCTTACCTCAAATGTCACCTCTTCTGAGAAGCTGTCGCTGACCACCCTATCTAAAGCAGCTCTCTGTCTGCCAGGATCACTCTCTCCCCACTGTCCTGTTTTTTCCTTCCTGACATTTATCATCTTTTGAAAGTGCTGTTATCTATTGTCATTTGCCCCCACTAGATGGTAAACTCCCTGAGGACAGAGAGACTTTACCTGTCTTGTTCACAGTTATCTCCCCAGCCCCTGGAAAGACAGGTATTTTTTGGCTAAATGAACAAATAATGCGCTCTATTCCTTACATACATACATTACTTATTCTACCTTCCCCTTCCAAATCCACTTGTTACTGTTTTCTGTTCTCTGTGTGTCAGGTTGATCTTTGCGGAAATCATCCCTAGAGCCGCCATCCTTTCTGGCTTCCTTTTAGGTTTGACCAGTGGGTGGCACCAGGAGGGGAATTCAAGGTGGGAGAAGAGACCACTTTGGATGTTCAGATCCCTGCTTTCTCCCTGCCTGGGCAGTGGCTCCAGTCCCTAGAATAAGGCCATACTCTTATCAGGAGTCTCTTGGCCTACAGCTACAGCTCTTGTTGAGATCCAGTAACAGAGTCCTCCTCTTGCCACTTCAGGCCCAAAGGTGGTAATAGCTCTCTCTTGTTAATAGTCTTGGGGTGCTGCATCCGGTTTGGATCTCTAAGCCACTCCCACATCTCTGTCTCTCTGTCAAACTCTGTTCATTCACCCTGGTCCCCTTGGCTCCTGCTGACCCTGACTGGTACATAGGCTATTTCCCTACAGGAACTCCTGTGTAAGATTTTCAGGGACTCATAGGGGTGTCGGTAAGAAAATTCACAGGGTGGGGGCGAACCTAACTCTATGAAAGAAAATTACTTCCTCTGTTTGAGCCAAGAATTACTTGAATATTTGCAAAAAAGAAGTCAGGTATGGTTTTCGCTTCTGGAAAATGAGGATAATAATACTTTCCCTGGCAGCCATCACCAAATAGAAAGAAAATGAAAGGGCTTTAGAGTTACCAATGACTCCATCAGTGCAGAAAATACCTGCTTCACGTGATTGTTCTAAATAAGATAGATGAAACTAAAGTCTTAGCAGTAAGATAAACAAAGGCATTCCTGTGAAGCTACCCACACTTTTATGTATTCATTCACTTGACCTATTATGCACTCATTTAAAAGGGGAGGGGCAAGTGATTAGATTTACTCAAAATTTCTAGAACTTAATTGTCTTAATTTTTACCTTTGAGACAGAACTCTCCAAGAAGCATGGTTTATTGCAGCCTCTTTTTAAGACACTGTGGATGCTTCCCTGGTGTACTGAATTTCCACAACCCTGAGAAATCTCTGAACTTCTCTCTCCCTGTCTCCACTCTTGAGCCAAGAAATGATCGTTTATGGATTTCCCCCAGAAACTCCAGGTTATCTGGAGTCAAAGGTAAGGAGAGAAGTGGATTTCCTAACACTAAGGTTCTTTTCCCGCTGAGAATGTGAAGGGCTTGGCTCTAGCACAGGTCGAAGTTATATTCCTACTTCCTTTGTATGCAAGATTAGGTTGTTACAAAAGAGGGTGTGTAGGTTAATGGCAGGAAGCAAGTTGCAGCGCGGAGCGCAGGCCCTGAGCGGATGTCAGGCTTAATGATTTATTCAAGCTGCAGCGCATCCGGGTGTTGATTGGCTGCAGGCATGCGTCCGCTGTCAGCTGCGCGCGCCGGGGACACGCCCGGGACTCGCCGGGCCACCTGACGCGGGGGGGCGGGGATGGCGGGGGAAGAGAAAAGGCGTGGGGACCGCGCTAGAGCGTAGAGGTGTGAAAGGAAGGAACAGGTAGGAGGTGAGAAAGTGACAGAGAAATAGAGGGAGACAGAGGAGGAAGGAAAAGTAAAGGAGAGAGAGAGAGAAGATTGGGGAAAAGGAGAGAAGGGAAGGAAGGAGAGAGACGAGAGAAGAGGAAGAGAAAAGAGAAGGAGCGATGGAGAAAGAAGAAGAGCAAAACAAAAGGCGGAAAGAGAGAATGAAGGAGAGAAGTGTGGCAAGGAGAACAAATGAGAGCGCGCACGGAGAGAGGCTGGAGAGGGGAGTGGGACGCGCTCCCAGAATGTCCCGCGTGCGCCCCCCTCCAGGCAGCCAGCGGGCGTCCGCTCACAAAGCCGCCTTTGAAACGCTGGCTACCAGGGCTATTTTGGGGATGAGATGGGGGAAAACGGCCAACCCACACTCCTTGCAGGGAGTCACTTTCCGCAGAGTACTTTGGAGAGCACTGGGCCTTGGGTTGAAGCTGTCGCGAAGCAGGAAGTGGATGCAGGGGACAAAAGCGCCACACCTGCCAAAAGGGAGAGCACTTAGAGAGCCCCCCACCCCCAGCTCCTGGCTAGCCCGGCGCCCCAGTACCATCCTCTGCCGAGCTGGGCTCTGCCCAGCATCCCAGCCTCCCCCACTAGACCCCGGC